ATTCATAATAAATCACTGATGATTCATAATAAATCACTGATGATTCATAATAAATCACTGATGATTCATAATAAATCACTGATGATTCATAATAAATCACTAATCGCTCGTTAATCGTTACAATCGTTACATTACTAATTGGTTCCTAAATCACTGATCGATTGAATTCAGATGTCAGAGGAGAAAATCTCGTGACCTCCTGAGAGACGTGAGTTCAGAGTAAATAAACATTTGCAATGAGGAATAAACAATATTGGTCGTTTGTGGACTATTTTTACCAGAGGAAAAACAATTCCATTGGACTGAATATCCAGCACTTTCTGGTGAGTCCTGACAGTTTTTTATATCTTCTGTATTTTGGAATCCCTTCTGTGTGTACGTTACCTGTATTCTGATTGTCTATATGTCACATTCAGCAGGCTGCAAGCTCGTTTGTTCTCAGGTGAACACCACACATGCTGTGATAGAGCCAAAAAATAAAACATGTTCAATTTGCATAATTATCCTGCTGTGTAATGCAGCCCTATGGTGCAGTGGGGACGTGACTACATCCTGAAACCTGACCTGTCAGTTAAGGTGCAGTGGGACATGACTATGTCCTGAAAGTCGACCTGTCACCTAAGGTGCAATGGGATGTGTCTATGTTCTGAAACCTGACCTGTTAACTAAGGTGAAATGGGATGTGTCTATGTCCTGAAACCTGACCTGTCAGCTAACGTGCAATGGGATGTGTCTATGTCCAGAAACCTGGCCTGAGGTGTGATGGGATGTGTCTATGTCCTGAAACCTGGCCTGTTAACTAAGGTGCAATGGAATGTGTCTATGTCCTGGAACCTGACCTGTTAGCTAAAGTGCAGTGGGACATGACTATGTCCTGAAACAGCAATCAAACCTTGATCAGGTCTGTGAAGTGGAAAAACAGCACTTCCTGTGAGCGCTGGCCGGCGTCTGATGCTCAGAAGTTGCTAATCTGATTATGTTGAGGCTGAATCTAATCTGTGAAAGGCTGCAGGCTGCTTTCAGCTCTCAGCCACAGCTAATGGATCACAATTAGCTACATCGATTTGCCTCACAGAGGGAGGGGGTTTTGGGACAGGCCTTGATGTGGACAGTCTGATAAATCCATTGGAAATATAAAATAAACCTGAGTTGAGTTCTGAATCTTAAACTGATGAAGTCCTGAAACAACACCCTCACCCCCATCCTAAATGGACTTCCTGAACAGAACCAACACCCTGAGTGTTTCCAGGAGGATCTGTGGAAACAAGCTGCTGTGCCACGGTGAAGCGGGACAGGAAGTTGAAACAGCATCAATCAATCCATGGTAAATAACTTGACCTTATACAGAACTTTATCAAGTGTGTATGGACCACAAAGCTCTTCACACATCCACAGCAGGGTTTCCCCACATGTAATTGATGGTGGCGCACCACCATGGCTAAATAAAAGCCGCCGCCGCCGCCGCCGCCGCCGCCGCCACGCTTTCGGAATGAAGTTTTTTTTATCAACATAAAACAGGGGTTGACACAATCATTGTTTAGTTTGTCTGAGACAAGCTGTTTTTGTTTCTGACAACCAGATCCCACCTCCCAGTTGTCTGGTGAACAAACAAAAACAAAAGACCTGGATTAAAATTTTTCTCCGCAGGTGTTTGTCATCGTAGAAATGAACGAGAGAAAAAAACTTGTTTAAGTCGTCTAGGGATTAAACTGATGGTTCTTTGACCTATCCATCCATCCATCCATCCATCCATCCATCCATCCATCCATCCATCCATCATCAATACAAATGGAACAAACCAATCAGAGGACAGATGGGTTTGTCTGTTGGGCTGGCACATGTCTGAACTGTAGATCTATGAAGGATAAATGTGTTCAGTCACCAGGCTCCAGTCAACTGTTTCCAGTCAAAACTACTTCCTTCACCCACCCTGCAGCTGCTCTACACAACAAACAGAATCTAACCCTGATCCAAACAGTTAAACCAATCAAGACTCAGTCCTGGTTCTGGTGTCTGACCTAGTTCTGGTTTCAATCAGCCTGACAGAGAAGTTGGAGCAGTTTTAAAGCTGATATGCAAAATTTTTAATGAGAAGATTTTGTGCATTTCTCCCCCTCTGACAGATTCACTGAGACAGAACCAAAAACTCTGCTGATTGTTCTTGTAGGATGGTCTGATACAAGCTGAAAGCTTTAAAGACTGAAGAGCAGAGAAAAGGAAGGATGACAGAAAGAGGGCAGACAGGAAAATAAAAGTCTCTTCAAAGCCTGCAGCTCCACTCGGAGACTAACGGAAGTAAAATTATATTTACTGACAGGAGAGAATATATATAACTAAAATATACAGTACTGTATATACTGATGGGACAGGATAACTAGTCTTATAGACCTGAAGTCTTATAGACCAGGAGTCTTATAGACCTGGAATCTTAAAGACCTGGAGTCTTATAGACCTGGAGTCTTAAAGACCTGGAGTCTTATAGACCTGGAGTCTTAAAGACCTGGAGTCTTATAGACCTGGAGTCTTATAGACCAGGAGTCTTATAGACCTGGAGTCTTATAGACCTGGAGTCTTAAAGACCTGGAGTCTTATAGACCAGGAGTCTTATAGACCTGAAGTCTTATAGACCTGGAGTCTTATAGACCTGAAGTCTTATAAACCAGGAGTCTTATAGACCTGGAGTCTTATAGACCTGGAGTCTTATAGACCAGGAGTCTTATAGACCTGGAGTCTTATAGACCAGGAGTCTTATAGACCTGAAGTCTTATAGACCAGGAGTCTTATAGACCTGGAGTCTTATAGACCAGGAGTCTTATAGACCTGAAGTCTTATAAACCAGGAGTCTTATAGACCTGGAGTCTTATAGACCTGGAGTCTTATAGACCAGGAGTCTTATAGAC